CAAGAGTCTGTCTAGTCTTTGAGCTTTCTAGAGAGAGAGTGTGAAATAGTATTTTGGCTGTTTTTTCCAAGTTTGTTTTTTTGTTTGCCTTGAGTGGGGCTAGCACTGATGAAGGAGCTTCTAGGTGACACACAGGAGGAGTAATCTATAATAATAATAATAACAGCTTACCTACTGCTTTGCATTTATAAAACATTTCCATTTTCTCTATTTCCCTAATCCTCCCATAACCTTTAAACTTCGTACAATGATCTCCATTTTACAGACATGAAAACTCAGAGAGAGAGGGTACAGGCTTTTCTGGGTTGTAAGTAAAGGGCAAGGACTTGAATCTTTGGGGAGCTCTTTTGGCTTGTAATACTAGGGTTATTTTCAATATATATAGTGATTTTTAGGCCTGAAATGTGAAAGGGAGAAGAGGAACTATGACAATGGTGAGGTGAATGGCAGAGGTGAGAGGGTGAGAAACCTCGAGAGCTTCTCATTCTGGCCGTCTGGAGGAGGATCCAGATCGGGGACAAAGTAACCAAGAATTCACACACGTGGGAGGGTGTGTGTGGAACGTGGAAGCAGAGAGAGAAGGCCATTTTGATTGGGCAGCCAGTACCTAGCATTCTTTTAACTAAATGCACAAGCTTCTCAAGTCTTTTAGCACCAGCTGGTGGGATCTTCTGACCTTATACTGCATCTTTCCAGTCTCTAAACTTTGCTCCCACGCTAGCTTGGTGACTGCAAAGTTGGCATCTATGGAAGTTAATCCGTTTACTCTATTCTAGTACAGTGGCTGACCGTTTTTTGCGAACTTGGCATGCCCCCAGTTGAGGAAAACTGATGTCTATTCTGTACCCACAGTATTCTCAGAGGCAAAAGTAAGACAGGCTGCAGGTTATGTGCAATGGACTATAAACTAGCTCTATCTCCATCATTTTTTCTACCACCAGAGGAAGCACATGAGAATGCAAATCCATGAGAATAATGTAATTTTAGGCCAGATTTGCAAACTGGTATCTCATAGACAGAATAGAGTCTTTTTTCGTGTGTGTGAGGAAGATTAGCCCTGAGCTAACATCCGATGCCAATCCTCCTCTTTTTGCTGAGGAAGATGGCCCTGGGCTAATATCCATGCCCATCCTCCTCTACTTTATATGGGACGCCGCCACAGCATGACTTGACAAGTGGTGCATCAGTCCGCGCCCGGGATCTGAACCTGCGAACCCTGGGCTGCCGAAGCAGAACCCGTGAACATAACGGCTACTGGGCCAACCCCAGGATAGAGTCTTTAGCCATATCTTTTGACAAAAGTTCAGTGGCTTATAAATATGTAAAATTTGGAGATTTCATATAAACATCTGTGTTTCTAGATTTTCCTAAAAAAAAAAAAATTGGAAATTGGGCCACTCTAGTCCTCTAATGTTGCATGGCAACAATAGGGTGGGACCAAATGCTGGCTTCTGGAACCCTGCAGTGTGCCAGGTGTCTACCCTCAGCCCTGTGTGCTTAGGCACTAACAGGTGACCCTGGTTAACTAACTTGTGTTATCTGGCTAGCTCCTGTGGGCATATATGTCTTTTAGGCGCTGATTTACAACTACCCTTGAGCAAATTATAGTTCCTTTAAAAATATACTTGCAGACTTGATGAATAGTAAGAAATCACTTGCAACCCACTCCATGATGTACAGCCACATATCCATGTGCCATGGCCCAATGGTTGAGAACAACTGTCTAGTTTTCTTCATGGTGTGCATGTGAGTCTTTGTGGTTTCAGCCTCTTTAAGCAGGTGAGATAAGCTGGATAAACGTGGCCTGGTCTGTAAATATAGTCAGTTATGGTTGGTGTCCCGGCTTTCATGTTTAGTGATCAGTTATTATTATTTTAATAATGAACTAGCTACCAAAATAAATAAATGAGAGCGTAACATTTTTTGAAAATGAAACAAACTACCAAAATAAATTGAAAAAAAATGAGAGCCACTTGTGGACTTATAATGTGAGCGTGTTGTAACATCCACTGATATGCTCCTGAGATCTTTTACAGGGAAAAAAAATTCTGGCCTATTCAACATAAAAATTTTAAATCTTTAATAGCAAGGGATCTTTGGGAGGCATGTGTGTGCAATTAATGGCTTCCTCTTTATTTACTTTGAAATGTGAACATGATTCTATGTTATCCCTTTTGTATGCCCACAGGTACTAGGATATCAGATTCTATCACTGCTGCCACTGGTCCTGAGTCCTCACATTCTTCAGTATACTTTTTATCTTTTCTTATATTTATAAATGAGATGGAGGTGGCTTGAGCCCTAGAATTTGCTAGACACTAAATCTTTTATTTAGAAGGTAGACAGCTCCTGGAAAGAGACATGACATACTTCTTTGTCAAGCTAACCCTAACAGATTTTGAAATGGGACTGTCAAACCTAATTAAAAGAGAAACTCATATTATGACAGATATTTAACCTTCCAGGAGGGAGTACGTATGCCATGCTGGTGAGGAATGTGTGGATCTCCTCATATAAACAATTTCTATATCCTCCATAACTTAGAATATCAGCGACAATGGCAAGTTGGCATAATATACTGTACTATAAAATCACTATATTGCTTTGTGAAAGTTACACTGGATTTGATCAGAAAAGGATTTCGAATTGTGTGTGGGTGAAAACATTCTTCATCATTCTATAATGGAAAAAAGCCAAGTAGTAAAACTTCTCAATGTGCTTGCCAAGTCCATTAATAGATAAATCTATTTACACACCAAAAAAACAACAAGTAAGCTTTACTTTACTCAAAAATCCTTGTCTTACGAAATAAGCCATATTTTCCTTTTTACCAAAAGAAGGGCTCTGGATGAAACCCTTTGCATTTGCTCTAATTATGTTATAACATTATTCATCGTACTTGATGAACAAGCTCATATCAATATTAGTCATACCCCACTGAGCTCTTTATTACCAGAAATACGTGATATAAGTTTTTAAACCATAAATGTTCAGATTCAATAGGCAGATGGTAGCTACTGAATTCCCCAAACTGGTGCAAGATAAATTTAAACACAAGTGGATGGTTCACACATTTGTGTAAAGGACTTAGATAAATCCAAATTGAATTTGAAGACATTTACAAATATTTGCAGTTTTACTGGATGGTTGCTAGATTCTTATGTGGTCTTTTTTCTCCTTCTCTCTTTTTTCAGATCTTTCCAAGGGAGGCTATTGCATTAAGCGACCAATAGGAAATAAACAAACAGACTTGGACCTCTAGACTAGCTCCTTTACTGACTTACAGGCTCTGGTTACAGAATAGGAAAAGCTGTGAGCTCCACATACTGTGAATTATAAGAGGGGTCTGTATGCATAAGGCCATAGAAAAGAGAATGTCCTTTTTACTTCTCACTGGATTTTCTTTCAGGACCAACACTTTTAAACGGTTATTCCAGAAAACACTAATCTGACTGATAAGGCCACATGGTCAGGGAATTTTGGGCAACAACGATGCTTAGAGAGTTTTTCTTTTGTGTGTGTGTGTGAGGAAGATCAGCCCTGAGCTAACATCCGTTGCCAATCCTCCTCTTGTTGCTGAGGAAGACGGGCCCTGGGCTAACATCCGTGCCCATCTTCCTCTACCTTATATGGGACGCCGCCACAGCATGGCTTGACAAGCAGTGCATCAGTCAGCGCCCGGGATCCGAACCTGTGAAGCCTGGGCTGCTGAAGCAGAGTGTGCCTACTTAACCACTGCGCCACCAGGCGGGCCCCAGGAGTTTTTTTTTTAAAGGAAATAATCTCATTTTAGTTAATCTCATTTAAGAATGTTAGGAGATTTTATGTAAAAATACAAATTTCTGGTTCTCTTGAAAAATTGAAGGTATGACAATGCAATGAATATATCCTCACACAGAAATAATTTCTTGTAGCTTCCCATTAGGCAGGGAATGTGCTCTCCATTAGTGGAGTAAGCACCCAACATGCCTGGATTCTGGAAGCGTTTTACTTGGTTTCCCCTGTTCTAGTATTTTTTGAAGACACCGTGTCTTTTGGTGTATTAAAGGCTCTGAAAATTCCCTCAGTAAATATTTCTATTTTATTTTATTTAAACTTTTTCCCAAATGTATTTGATGATAGAAGTTTTTTCCTCCACATATTTAGATGTACTGTTCTAGATAATTCTTTGAGTTTATGATATGAGTTTTTGCTTCAAAGTTTACAGATGAAAGTCATTTTTTGATATTTTACTTGATACATGGATATGGACCATAAATTCAAGAAATTTTGATTTGCTGGTATGAATTTTATGCTACTTTCTGGTAAATATTTGTGAAAGTGTTTGGGAAGCCTAGATTTTGCAATGAGGATTCCATTTCCTTTTCTGGATGCTTTTATAGGCATTCAAGATGCAGAATCAATCTATCTAGTTAGAGTGTTGGTATATTCAATCAGACTTCAAGCTATACTGGTAGAAATGAAAGAGCTTCTGGATCCCACCTGAGGTTTAACTTAAAAAATTCATAACAGGGGACCCACCGTGCTGCTGATCTAATAACAGGCCCTAACAACATGTATTCCAGAGAAACGGCTTTGGAGAAAAAACAGATACACTTGCAGTATGATAGGGTAAGTAATAGGAATCTATAGTAATATTACGCTATGCTAGGTAAACTAGAACGTAAGTAGATACTTCCTTCTTATAAGCATCAGCTGAATAATTCTCAAAAAGAGAAGATGAACAAAAATTTCTTTTTTGGGAGGTGAGCCCCATATGCGACCACTACGGAAGCCCAATAACGGGATTTGACATTTAATCTCACTGACCAAGGACACTGCAGTTATAGTAATGAATTTCTGGTTTTGAAAATATTAGGGTTGGAAATATTGGCTGTGACAGCAGCAAAGACCTTGTGGAAAAAATTCTGGCTGACTGTGAATCTCTGAGTGGGGTGTTCTCTGAATTTGGTTAAAGCTGATTCAGGAAAAATAAATGACAAATAAAGAGGACAAGTAGGTTTAGAAAGAACTAATTTACCACTTTAATAGGGCTGTCCAACATTTGGTCACATAGATCATTCTGAAACCTAATTGCTTTAATGGTCTTCCTATCTCACCAGAAGAGATCTAAATACTCTTAGAAAAAGCAAATCAAACATAGAAAGAGGTGCCATGATAAGACTTGTTGCTACAGCACTATAGTACTTAATGATGCCAGACTTTGGATTTAACCAGAGGACATTTCTGCAGTCTAGGACAGCTATACAAAGCCTTAAGACATTGTATTTACAGAACTTATTAATACAGGGATCCATATTCTACTATAACTCTGCCAGAGTCTTAATAGCATGGTGGAGCAGCTCCCTCAAGAATCCTCATTTTCCTATCTGTGGAAAAGCTAGTAGTTCTAAAAATATTTTCCCGGAAGAGGTTAGAACGGTTATTATATATCAACTGAATATAAAGTATGGTTATGTAAGCCAAGCTTGCATGCTATTATTGCACAGGGTAAACAGCAATAAAACAGGACGAGGTGCTTCCTTGTGCCATCTGGTAGAAACAGAAGGAAGCTCTTGATTCCATATTGTTATGATGTCTCAGATTCCAGGAGTCCACCTGTAGCTGGCCTTCCAGTGGGAGTGTCATATTGAACTCTCAAAAGGGCACGTCTTCCTTGTGGATAGAAAAAGAAATGGCAACAAAACAAAACAAAACATTCAAAACTCAAAAAGTTACACCAGCCGCCTCAAACTGTGGTATTGTTCATTTCTTGAAGAGAATATATAATATTTCAAAATATTATATATATATATACATATATTTCAAATGGTACAAAGTAACTATAGATCCAAATTAGAAGATAGTTGATCGTTCTTCGTAATCCCCAAAATTTTCATTCAGAAAACTCTTTTTTTAAATCCACTTTCCGTGGTGTTGCCAAAAGCTTCGAGTCTTCTCACTGTGGGATACTTCGTGACACACAGTACAAGTATTATGATTATCTGGTAACCAGTCAAAGTGCAAATAAGAAATCCATTTGGCTTGTAATGTGTTAGATGTTTTAAATCCTTAAAATGTATTTTCCGCAGAGTTGGTTTTCCTTTACTACCACAACAAATGCTTCCCTTAGGTTCTTGGGTGAATCTGAAACCAAAGAAAGAAAGAAATTTCAGGGAGAAAAGTACAAAATGAAGGCACACAGAAAAGTGATTAGGCAGAAAATAAGGACAGCTTGAATTTTTAGGATGTTGCTTCTTTCAAGTGATCTGAAGTCAAAAATGTTCAAGTCTAGAGCAGTAGCTCTCAACTGGTGATTAAAGTGCATTGACAGACCACCATGTTTTTATCAATTCATTAAATTAATTTTGCCACAACTAGGTGATAGACTCTTGGAGCAACGTCTAACCAGAACCGGCTTCATGGGCATGGGACCTGCACAGTTGCACAGAGCCCTGTGGTGAAAAGGGCACTGCGCTTGGTTTAATGACCTGCTGTTGCCATTTTGAAATTATTAGTAATTTTTGAACACGGGACCCCATGTTTTCATTTTGCACTGGGCCTCGCCAATTCTGTAGTTAGTCTAGCGTCTATCTGATAAGAATTGGAACTAAGTTATTCCATGGCCTTGTCAAGTTGGCCTGTTGTAAGATTTAAAAGGGTGGCATAAGGTGAAGTCATTGCCAAGGTTAGACCGATTTGTTTAGGAATATAAGAGACCTTTGCAAGGTGAGGAAGTGTTCCACTCAAACAATGACAGAGGGTTCAAGGGCAATCAAGAGCATACTCCTGTAATTGTTGATGCCATTTAAGCCATTTGAATATGGTCCCAAAGACTCTACTATTTAAAAGGATGTGCGCACAGAGAATCTCTAGTTTAGAGCATCAATGACGATTCTAATAGAGTTGAAGCTTCTACTTTAGAATTCTAGGACATAAGGAATTTTTCTTCATCATCTCTTAATTCTTTATGGTCTTAGAAATTGAGTATTCTGAGTCCAGGAGTGGAGTCCATTTAAAACTTTCAGGGTTAGGTGGGAATAGTAATAAAAGTTTGCGTTCAAAACTTTGGCGCCCTGGTTGGGCCAGGGGCAGAATGTATGAGAAATCTTCATGCATTTATTTTTTTTTCTCTCCATAGAAATAATAGATCCTTCCAAACCTTGATTTCCTATATTTCAGTAGTGTTTACCACTTTCTGTTTTCACCGTCTTCTTTTTCACCAAAAGGAAGGAGAAAGTGACATTTACAAAACTGAACTGGAATTGCCTTTCTTTTATCTCTACTGACTCTACCTGCCACCCCCACCCCCACCACCCAGCCTTAGGCCCTATCCTCCATGGAAGACCCGGGGCTCTGTCATGTCCACTGTCACATCCCTAAGACCTTAATACACTAACTTTAGATAGTAGAGGCTTAAATATATTTATTAGCTAAAGAAAGGAATAATTTCACTTGCAACCAGGGGCAAATGTAATAGCATAAGTTCGTTTATTCTTCCTTGCTGCAATCTCTAAATATGTCTATTTCTGTATTTTAAAGGCATTTCATGCAAAATGGAGTAGAGATCAGGATTGTAAATTTTCTCAAAACACTTTAGACCTGCAGAATTTTGAGTGAAGATGCTGGAATGTGTCAAAGGTGGTACTTTACCCTTCAGTAACATAAAAAACACCAGCGGTGATTAGAATGGGGAGACATATGCAAAGTCAGAGTCCCCATTAGGACGATGAGTACCAGGAGGGTGTAGACAAATGATTGTGGTAGATTTGTGTTGGGCCAGTCACATAAAACACTGATTTGACCAGATGGCTACTATAGTTAGGTGTACAACCTGAGGTCTGCTAACTCGTCGTTTTAGGGAATGAAACTTGACCCTACATTGGGCACTAATTCTTGATTTTCTCACTAGTCTGAAAGACATGAACATATGGGGTTCAAGGAAATCCAAAGTTGCTTGATACTTCCCCAGGTATTATGCCAGTTATGTTCTGCTATTTTAATCTGCTAATTTTTCTTTCCAAGTGACTCGGTTTTCTCTTTACTTCATTCCCTTCCTTTTCCTGTCTCCAAACAATATTCACTCTTCACATATGAATTATTACAGCATTGTCAAACAAGTTATTTCCTCTTTGGGGAGGTCTGTCTTTTTTTTTTTTAATTTTTTTTTGCAGGGGAAGATTCGCCCCAAGCTAACATCTGTTGCCAATCTTCCTCCATTTTTTTTTCTTCTTTTTCTCCCTCAAAATCCCAGTACATAGTTGTGTATAGTTGTAAGTTCTTTTGGTTCTTCTAATGTGAGCCCCTGCCACAGCATGGCTACTGACAGATGAGCGGCATGTTTCTGCACCCAGGAACTGAACCTGGGCCTCCGAAACGGAGCACGCCAAACTTGAACTGCTAGGCCATCAGGGCTGTCTCCTGTCTTTCTAAATTAAGCCATTGTTTCTGAATACACAGAGTATAGATTTGTTCCTGAAAGCGTGAGATATAGCCTCCCCAACTTTCAAATTTATGTTTTTGGTATCTAAGTTTAAAGAAAAGAAATAAAGCAATAAGTATCTAAAACCGTAGGAAAAAATCTCTAGTCAATATTTAGATTGGTTAGTCTTGCTACAGACTACCAACAAAGTAATTTAATACAACAAGTGAAGCAGTGGTCAAGCAGAGACAGGGTTAAAATTTAGCCACGAAATGTCACCCAGATGTAACAAGCTTCTCCCCAGGAGGGTGTCTGTCACTCTCCAGCTACTCCAGGGCTGGGTTTTCGAAAACCTCTCAAGGGTGACAACTTCCTCTCTATAGGGTAGAATTCATTCAGGAAGGTTCTTCTTTTCCTAAGATTTATTCTTCCAAATGTCCTGAAAGGAAAGCCTTTGCCTAATTCTACCTATCTTTTCTCCTTCCTTCTGTGGGTTTTATTGTCACTCAGATCTAATTTCCCCAAGGTTTTCCTTTAGATTGTAGCCTCTTATCCCAGCTAGTCCACATTTTGGGGTGTCTGGTTGTTTAACTGAAACAGTGAATTTCTACTTTCCAACCTCCTTAAAAAATGAACATGATAAAAAATTAAACTAGATCACACTTTGAAGCATCTCTTGTTTATCTACATTTCAAGACTGCTGAGAATTTTTGTTTAGGATGATTGTTTGCATAGTAACCCATATCATAGCAAGGTTTTGAAAAAGAAGGATATCCCAGGAATCTTTCTTGCAAATATCTTTTCATTGGAGTTACTTTTTAAAATAGCTGTATGAAGGAAACTCTCAGTTGCCATTAACAATCTGGGTATGTTTCTTCAGTTTTTTTTTTTTTTTTTTCCTGAGAGCACTTTTCCTTAAATTAATCTTACACATAAGAACAAAAGAGGTGATTTTCTCTACTTTCCCTTTTTACTTTGGTAAGAACTTGAAGAATTTTTTATCCTAAAAATTATCTCTTAGATAAGAACAGAATAGTAAGAATATATGATTCATAATTAAAGTACATTTATTAATTAAACTCTTTTAAAAGTTAAATTGCTAGAGTCAATATTTGAGGTGTGTAGGCATATTTATACTCTGATGAGGAAAAATACATAGGGCATGCCAGAAAAATTAATATAAAACCTACTTTTAGAGCATGTGATCTAAGGACTTGTGTTGGCATGCCATTTATACAGAATGGAAAGCTCCTGTACGTGTCATCTGGACTTAGTTGGTGCCTTTTGTGTTTAAAAGTGCTTATTTCATTGTGAATTTCTTGTTAAGGAAGGGGGAGAAAATGTAAGTCAGTAGTAGTGTCTGAGTCATCTCAAGGTTTAAAAAGTATAGCTTTTTCTAGTGTCTTCTTTTTCCTTCTCTAAAGACAGACTTGAGAATTCTTAGTTGACTGATGTGCTGCTCACATGGCTGTAGAGAAGTCTCTTGTTTCCTTGCTTGAAATGGATGCACACATCAGAACAGGTACATCCTCTGCTTTCAAATCAAGTGCAAGGGAAATTTATTTCTCTTGTACACTCAACTGTATAGGTTGCATTCAGCCCACCCAGGGCGGTAGCAAACACAGTGTGCTCCAGCCTCTATTACAATGATCAGGTTCTGCACCATATTTCTGTGATGCCAGAAAATGTTTAGGATGAATTTACAACATGCCTGATGGTTTTAAAATATACTCTACAGAGGCCGAATAAAAGAGCTACACAGGTCACAAAAAAGTAACATTAACAATTTCTCTGTGTTTTTCTTGTTTGTTTGTTTATATTCTATCTTCCAAAGAGTCTCCTAGTTGGCACTCTTGGAATGCCACATATTTAAATCCTAAAATAATTTCACTTGCATTGTTGTTCTTTACTGAATTTCAAGTCTGGAGGCACCATGATAGCAGGGCTTACCTTCAATAAAGGATGAGTAGTTATCATTTGGAATAGGGATGAGATTTGGCAGAAAATATATCAGCAACGTGTTTAAAACAATAGTTATTGGATTCCAATCATAATGGCCATAATCCAGAGTAGCTTAAAAGTAATTTGTGAGGGCATCTTCAAATTATTTGGTAAAATCATTTTCAGGCAAAATGTAACCAAAAGAGAAATGTGAAATCCATATTCCACCAGCTAATTAAGATGCTTTCTGAGGGTAAGTGGCCCGAACGAGCTCATTTTTGAATACTCTCTTCTGTAGGTAGTTCGTTGAAATGATCGTAATCCATGCTGAGCTTGTCAGGTGCATGCAAATACATGTTCACAAGCTAGGGTGGTTCAGGAATCCCTCCTGGCTGCAAGCCAGGGAGGTATGGCCATTTCCTGGTTAATATGGTCAATACAGGCAAGTAAATTTGACACACACAGAGTCTCCACTTATTTTACGTAAGAAAAAAAATGTTTTATAAGGTATTATGTTTTCTGCATCACAAAGCTTCAAGAACCAATTTTTTTTTTTTGAAAAGATAATGCTGAGAAGAAAGATCAAATTAAGACTCAACACAGGGGTTGAAATCAGAAGATGTTCTTTTAAATTTGAGTCACACTTTTGGAAGACCACTAGTTCAACATATTGGGATTTGTAACTGGTGGAGCTTGCTTTAAAAAATACCCAATGCATCAAAATACATACGTACATAACAGGGCTGATATTCACATGGTATGTGTACATATGACCATATTGGTTATTAAAATGTTGACATCCTTTTGCACTAGTGAATAAATACCATCTTAAGTGCCCTGAGCAACCCTCGCTACCCACCCCCTATAGGACTCTCAGATTTTCCTATGGTCAAGTATCTATAGGGTCAATGGCTGACCTAGCTGGGCCTCTCCCACCCGCTCCAGCATCATGACACCAATTCTGATGGGTTGGGTAGCCTCACCACACAATGGTGTTATATATTTTGAAGACAACTCTTGATTTAACTACAGAAATCAAGGAATGATTATTCACATCAAAAAACCTTTCACTTCCCTAAAAGGTGATCAAGGAATTCCTTTAAACAACCTTTAGAAAATGGCTGTACTTAAATGCAGATCTTTTTAGCAAACCATCTGGATGAATTAGGCAAGATCCTTATTTTATTATCTACTCTGAGCACTATAGACATTGGATGAATTATCTGAATAATTTTCTCACTGCTCCTCTTCCCTTTGGCTATGGCAACCTAGCTTTATTTATGAGCCAGTAACGGAAACACTAAACTGTTCAGTATGGAAAAGTCAAGTTCAATCTCCGACTTCTTGTTGATGGATGGACACTGATCTGAATAGTGAAGAATGGTTCTGTCAGGGAAAAGGCTTCCTTCCTTCCTGTTCAAAGCTTCTCTGGGTGCTGTTTGTACAACACAAAGGCAAATAGTACAATTTGTAACATGCGTGAGACATTTGAAATAAATGAACTTACTCTTGTGGTCTTAATTTTATTGCCTGTAGCGCACATCCATCCGGAATTATCGGGGAGAGTCTTACATTCTTCTCCTTCTAGACAAGGCTCCATCTCACACCACCATTTCCCAATCACTATGGAGGCTGTACAAAAACAGGAAACAAGTATGTTTGTCATTCGTCCAAGGAACCTGGGCACTGGTGCTGTCCCTCTGCGCATGTTAATGCTCTTTGAAACACATTAGGTCCTCTTTAACCTTCCATGACTGGCTAAGAACACTCTATTATGAAGAATAAGATTTTAGTTTATAAGTCTTACAATGCAAATATGATTATGCTGTCTGGTTTCATCAAACGACATTTTGTCCCAAATCTCCTTGTATGATGAAAACATATGGAATAGGGAGACTTACTTTTTGGAGGAACTTTTGTGTTGTTACTTTTTATAGATCAAGGATCTTGCACTGTTTCTTTTCTATGAAGGGGACAAAAGTCCTAAATGTTCTTCAGAGTGACTGAGCTATTCTTTTCAGAAAGGCCAGTTTATCCACCCAGCTTTAGGGTTTATCCCCCAGTCTAGGACCTTTGAGAATTTCAAAGGCCAACCAAAAGAAAAAATGAATTGACCAAAAGTACAAAAGAAAATGTGCAAAATAAAAACCGAGAGTAAAGATAAATGAAACTATTTGTTTACGGTCAAAAGTATATTTGATATGAGCTGTGGTTGCCTTTTAATATGTTTGATATCATGTGGGTAGAACTTTCAAAAGCTGAGCCTCTGACAAAACAGCCCTACTTTTCAGGGTGATAGCAAGGATGACCACCATAGGAAGCTGGCAATGAATTTAGTGGAGGTATTTATAGCACACCTCTTTTTTAATAATGAAATTTTATAAAACTAGTGACTAGATTCACTCAATACAAATCAAGAAACCCCACATCTTCTTTAATGCCCTGAGTGAAAAATTATTTCTGCACAAGCATCAGTCATTTCTGAAGTTCCTCAAGGCATTAGTTTTTCACAGATCCTCCTGGACGTCTCCATTCAAAATCCTCAAAATGTCTGCCAATATTTCTTTTGTGAAACTTTCTGATTGGCTGTTTTTACACTGGACCAAAACTCAAGTTCTTTAGATATTCACCTCTCAACCCCTCACATCCCAAAGATGAGTCCCTACCATGGTGTTTAATTCTCCCAATGACAAAGAAGCCAAATGACATCTGTTAACATCACAGAGGATTAATATTAAAATGGAATGGAGAAAACCCTGCAGTGAAGCAGAGAAACATTAAAATTCCCTATCTATCCAGTGTTCACTAGAGGGATTAGATTGCTAACTTAAAAGCAGAATGGTTTAAACATCTAGACATCTATCTGCACTCAGGTTTTCCTCCTTCTACACTCTCCTTACTTCAGTCTTTCCTTCTTTCTACTTTGAGTAAAAATTGCTATGCAGGATTATATATGCAAAATCATATCTACTCTATTATAGGGTCAATTTAAGGACTTTTTCAAGGGTAATGTTGCCTATATTTGATTTATACCTTATATGTGGACTGGACAAAACCATGTAAAATGCAACTTGATTGGATATGGCAAGCAAGTACAGGAAATAGAATCTTGTACAGTTGTGTGTCGCTTAAACGAAGGGGCTATGTTCTGAGAAATGCGTCATTAGGTGATTTTGTCATTGTGCGAACATCATAGAGTGTACTTACACAAACCCAGATGGTACAGCCTACTACACACCCAGGCTGTATGGTACTTATCTTAAGGGACCACTGTCATATATGTGGTCCGTGGTTGACTGAAACATCGTTATGCGGCACATGACTGTAAATAGTTCTATCCATGTGCAAGACAACATGATATTTTGGCAAAACAAAGAGAAGTAACAGAAGACACAAATTCTCCCCAGGGTACAAAATGACTATGAGAGTTTTGAATGTTTTCCTTCTTAATAACAGGGCTCTGCATCGGGACATGGAGTAGGGGAAGATTCTAGTCATGGGTAAAAGAGGCCTTATTTATGTGAATCAATAGGTGACAATTTTAAATAAGAGAAGCATGTATTTGGCAGCAAGAAAAACATATGTAGTGTTGAAAGGGAACAAAAGTAAATTGCAAAGCTTCTGGTAAAACATGAGATAAAAGTCAGGGTCTGGCAGTGTTTATTGAGAGCCTACAATCTGAAGCTCCTTTTGGGCTTGTGCTCAGTCAGAAACAGGCCAGTCACATTGGCCACGCTTGTCCCCTTAAAGCCCATTAATATGTCAACATTGCCACCCTGAGTCTATGCCACGGAGAATGGAAACCCTCCAATTTTAGCTCGGAGGGGAAACTGCCTTTCCCAACAGACTTCAATTTAGCATTTGTCACTCTTTTTCACAGAGGAACACGAACAATGAACCACTGCTGGTGAGGTCAGCCTTTAGCATCTTTGCCTCCTTCTAAAGGACCCCGTTCCTTCTTCTTTAGGGTGCTCTCTGCCCTCTTGGAGCTGACCTACTTTGTCGCAAGCTAACAAAGCAGTTTCTCTCTCTCTTACGTATTATCTCCTAAATGAAAATGTAGACAGTAGGAGAAAGAATATGTCTTGAAACCCATTTATCACCTTTAATTTAAGGTTGTAAAGATCCACTGGCTCATAGGGAAACAGAAAAGGCTCTCTAAGAATAAGAAAGTCCCAGACCTGCCCATAGTCTCTACAATTCATCTTATAGTTGCCTTTTCTAAACAGAATTTGATGATTTGGCACTACACTCTGTGGAATCTAGTCCATTCTCCCAGTGCTGCTTTTCGCAAGACGCCATTAGACATACTTGTTTCTGATTTGTGCATTGCACGGTAATCTTTTTTTTTTTTTTTTTTGCGAGGAAGATTGGCCCTGAGCTAACATCTGCCAATCCTCCTCTTTTTGCTGAGGAAGATTGGCCCTGGGCTAACATCCATGCCCATCTTCCTCTACTTTATATGGGATGATGCCACAGCATGGCTTGCCAAGCGGTGCGTCAGTGTGTGCCCGGGATCTGAACCCACCAACCCTGGGCCACCGCAGCAGAGCAGGCGCACTTAACTGCTTGCACCAACCCATCTTAATACATATTATTTCATGTCCTAGTTCAAATTATAGTCTCTCATCTTAATTTTTTCATAAACTCATATTCCCTGTAATATCTTTAAAAAAATTCACAAAGAGAAGATTTGAAAACTGCCTCCTCTTCTCCCAAACTGGAAGCTACTGAAAACCTTCAGACAATTGGAAGAGGAATGATCAACTAGATTAATAAATTAATAAAATTAATAGATTAATCAAATGAGCTATTATGAATGTGATTTAACTTTTTATAAGTTTTCTTATGGAGAAACTTAAACAAGAAAAATGTAAATATAAATCATTCTTAAATGTCTTGAATTATTATGCTCAGTTCAATAATGGTATATATCAATAAAGATAACTGACATTTCTGAATGCTCCTTATGTGTTTCTGTATTAGGTACTTAAAATATATTATCTCAATCTTCAAAGCAACCTTATAAAGTGGGTATTATTATGAATTCATTTTATACATGAAAAAGTTGAAGCCCACAGAGGTTTAGCAACTTTCCCAAGCTTACACAGGTAGGAAGTGCAGGAATTAACATTAGAATTCAGGCCTGCTTAACCACAACATCCACATTTTTCATTGTGATAGGGCTAACTCATTCTAGTTTTGTGTTCAGGATTCATAGAGCTCTAAAAAAGCATTTATTGACTGCTGAGTGAATGAATGAATTCTCTCTGCTATATTATTATTGAAAATAAATTTCACGTCAACACAAACACTTGTAGAAAACAGACATTTAGTTTCCTGTAACATTAAGTTTACTTAAAAAAATTAATTCGACCAAGAGCCAGTTTATATCACATTTGTTTCTTCCTAATCTGAGCTACACAGTGTTTGATTTCATTAGTTATAGCGTTTTAATAGAAATTTCCACTAGTGAACACTTTCTGAAGCCATGAGAAACTTGTGACGTAGATGCATAGCTGCTGTGAAGACTTTTTATCCTCCAGAACTGAGTTAATTAGGTATCAGCTGTAAACACCAACTCTCTCTCATCTCTCATCTGTAAGACCCCCTGAAAGAGGGTCTTAAAGGTCCTTTTTAACCCTAGGGTTCTGGGATTCACTCTATAAATGTGCCACGTTCAGGAAAATATCTGATCTTCAGCTATCTCAAGAATGTTCATCTTTTCTTGAGAGATTCTTAAAATCACTAAAGCCACTTTAATCACAAGGCTTGATTTCCCCCTTATACCAGGTCATATTGCTGTGAGCAAAAGTTGACTGTAAAAGGAGAAGCATCCATCTTTCAGTGATAAATCCTAAAAAGAGCAGAAATCCTTTTTTTCTCATTGTTGTTGCTCACTCTGAGGCATTTTCCCATGGGAATAGAATAAGGTACTAATAAGCCACGGGCTTAATAAACACAGCAAATACACATCATATTGTCTAAGACCTGCAGTCCCTTTCTATCATTTCAATAGATAACATTTGAGCCTCAATTGAGCAAACGTTCATCAAGCACTTTCAGTAGTCAGAGCACTACCTGATGTGCTGAGAGGGATCACATACTGAACCCGACATAGTCCCTGCCCTCAGAGCCTACGATTCAGCTCAGGGTTTCTCCATATGGGCACTCTTGGCGTTTTGCCATGAATTACGGTAAGAAGGTATAAATGAGTGAAGTACTCCTCCAGCAGGAAATACGTCATTGTGCTAGAAGAGAAGGCTCACAATGGGGAGTGGGAAGAGAAAATCTTAGTAAGATTGTGGAAGTTCTTGAAAGCAAGGAGCTTGGGCTTTTTTTTTTTTTTTAATGTAGTTTTTTAAAGGAATGGTAAGTCACTAAAGATTCTGTATTTGGTGAGCAAAGGGTAGAGATGATTATGGAGGTGGTTGGGGAAGGTGAATTGTGCAGTGAGGTGTAAGATGGAAGAAGGAAGAAGCAAGCAGCTGAAATGCCAGTTAAGCGCCACTGCATTCAAACACAGAAGGGATAAGCTCTTGATTTGGGTGCCTACTCTCTAATTGTGAAGAAGGGCAGAGCTGCAACTGAGGAAGCACTATGGCCAGTCACTCAACCACATTAACTCTAAC